CCCATATCTCCATGCCCCCGGCACATCCTTGATCAGGCGGCCGGTGAAGATCGATAGGGGGGCGGCATCATCGTTCTTCAGGTAGAACCAGAGCTTATGCCACCCCTTGTTGGACTTCAACAAGGAGATGGACATATACTCCAATGCTCGGCTACCCCGTAGACGGATGCTCGCGCACCCCATCGGCACTGCCAGGTCCGGCTTCTTCTTATCCTTCTTCTTCTACAGCTCGATAATGAAGAAGTACTTCCATAGCTTGAAGTGGGACTCGATCCCCAGATACCCCTCGCACAGCGCGACGAAGGCCGAGATGTGCTCAATTCCATTGGGATTCAGATGTTGTAGCTCCAGCCCATAGTAATGCAGCAGCCCTCGGAGGAATCAGTGGGGAGGAGTCGCGAACCCCCGCTCATGGAAGGGGATGAAGGAGACAATGTAGCCGTCGGATGGTGACGGCACATCCTCACCACCAGGTACGATCCACTCATTCGTTGCGATCCTTGCACAGAGAAGGCCCTTCTTGACTAGACCCTCCATGTGCATGCGGAGAATGTTGGAGCGAGGCCACGACTCCATCAAAGAATAAGGATGGCAATGTAGAAGATCCAGCAGCGGTGTAAGGCTGGAGAGCGAGAACTTCGTCGGTGGCGGAGTGGAAATAGGGAAACAAAGGCTAGGACTCGGGAGTGAAAGGCAGAAAGATTGGAAGGGCAAAGGATGTGGCTGCGCGTATGGAGGTTGGGGAGAAACCGCTTTGTTTATAAGGTAAGAGCGGAACAGGCAAGGGGCGAACCGTCCTCCTAAATTAACGCGCCACATGCCCTACCAGATCCATTTCCTTCGAGGCTTGAGCCCTCATTATTTCTCGCAGCATCAGTCGCCTTGCTGCCTCGAGAGACGAGCGCACGCCTATCCCAATCTTCCCCGCAAAGGATCCATCGAGCGATGGTTCGACTTCAAAGGCCATGTTCCGCCGCAGGTAAGAGGGATATGGAGCTGAAAACGCTCCTGCGGCCTGTTAACGCCTAGGAGTTCAAAGGCTAGCCCACTAGTGGGTTCACGGCCGCTCTAGGGCACCTTAGAGTGAGGGAAGGTTAAGGACGGGCCCGCTAGTGGCCAGAACCCAAAGCACGCAAAGCGCCACGGGTGTCCCAACCCTCGATTCGAGTCTTGGATGATGCAAGGTCCATGGGTTTTCCCCAAAAGAAAGGCATTGAGCCCTTGGACTGGTCAAACGGATCTAGGAACTATATGAACCAGCCACCAGGAATCTAGAGTCAGTCACCAGCTGACCTCGAATCAGGCCCCCACGAAGGGGATGCCGGGGCTCCACTCGAACAAGCCCGTTAACAACTCACTGAGCACCGTGCTCCGTCTAGCGAGGAAAGCATGGCCCAACTCAGCCCCTTCGTTCTAGCGAATGAATGCATGAGGGATGACGATCGCAAGATGAACCGACCCCCCGACCAGGCCCCTGCTACGTGCAGGGGCTCGACATCGCAGGGAGACCGAACACGCGGTCGCAGACAAACGACGAGTGTCATACCAACCTGCCATCCTGCAAAACGACAATAACAAATAGTACTCCCGTATGCCCTCAAGCAACAGACAGCAAAAAGCCTTTGCAGGAGTGTCTCACTCCTCCAAAGGCTCGGGGGCTACACCCACCAGGTGCGCTCGTGCGCACCCGGTGGAAAACGAATTACCGACGCATGTCCTCCCCGGGGGCTGGGCACCCGTGTCCACTTTTGCCAATCTCCCACATGGAGGCTTGGTATCTAAATCCTACTCGGTTACCCTACGCGGATTAACAAACCGAGGGGAAAAACGCCGAAGTTCCAATAAATGACCCGCCTCCATGGCATAACGGCCACAGGAGCAACAAATCGTGAAAAAAGCCTTTGCAGGAGTGTCTCACTCCTCCAAAGGCTCAGGGGCTACTATCGAATATCTATACCCAGGTATCCAAGCCAAAGGATTAAAGAGCATCACGTCGCCTCATCCGATGGTTAAATACGCAACTACGGCCTCATCCAACTCTAAGGGCGAAGTTTTCGCCTCATCCGACCCCCAGGGGCCGAGCCATGCCTCGTCCGATGTCGAGGATGAGGTTTCTGCCTCGTCCGACCCCCAGGGGCTGGGCCCCGCCTCGTCTGACGCCGAGGACGAGGTTTCCGCACCGTCCGACCCCTAGGGGCCAGGACACGCCTTGTCCGGTCCCACAGGGAGGGCCCCGCCACGTTCAACCCCTATGGGTTGGATTCCATCTCGCCCGACTCCTAGGGAGAGATTTCCGCCTTGCTCGATCTTTGGGGATCGGATCTGCTATCAGACCAAAGTCGTGGTCCTAGGGTAGGGCTCGAACCGCTTCAACCACTCAAGGTCAAACTTCTGGCATCGTGCAGGGTGCATTCACATCTCGGCACGACCCGTCCCCATGACATGTCATTCCGAGGAATTCACAATCGCCCATAGTGACGGACGCGCGGTCACTGTGCTTCCAACTCCCTACCTGACCACCGTCCAACGTCAGTCAACCGGCATCAGTTGACTGGCACTGTACCGCTAACCCCCCACATGGCTTTCTGTTAGGGGACCCTCTGACCATTCCGTCCGCTCGGATGGGACAGAAGACAAGAATGGCGCATGACGCCCGCACGTAAGCTATAGTGGCCAACATGACCCCGGTACGACGCCGCTGCCACCACGATCTATAGGATCAGCGGGACCCACGCGAAGAGGAGGACAATGCACCTTCAGGAGCCTTATTTCTCTTTCTTTTCTCCTCTTCCCTTCGGCTATAACCCTTGCTTTCCCTTGGCCTATAAAAGGGAAAGCAGGGCGTCCCACTAGGGGGACGTTGATTCATCATACACCGATTCATCAGACAAGCATACCGCATCACACTAGAGACTTGGGAGCTATCTCCCTCTCTCGCCAGTTTGTAACCCCCTACTACAAACTCAGTGCTAGTAACACGAGCAACTCGAAACTGGACGTAGTGACATTCGGCCCGAACCAATATAATCATTGTGTCCTCTTAGCACACCATCCGGTCAGACGCGCAATAGACAAATTTACTAGCCGGTGCTTTCTCGAAACACCGACAGTCACCCCTCCCAGTCAAATTGGGTGGTGGTCAAGAAATCAATCGTGATGGCCGATTCATGAATCTAGCACGAGAGCTTTTTGGATGGGTGGTGGAGGGGATTCAAGCCCTCCTTCCCATGTGAAACAATGAGCCTCCTTCAAAGCCGACCTCCCTCTCACACACAAGCATGCATAAAACAACTTCTATGCATGGATAAAAAAGGCGAAGAGAAAAAAAAAGGAATATGAAGAGGGGAAATAAAAGATCAAAGAGAAGTACCGAATGTCTTAACCGGCCATCCTATATTTGCAACCGGTAGTTGTCGCCACCTTTCCACCGTCTAACCGGATCTCCCATCATTGCCTGTGGCGGGAAACGTCCTTGTCACCTTGTTGTCTCATTTACCAATGCCACGTGTTAATCGTTTGTGGCGGGCAATGTTCCCGCCACCTTGATGTCTCATTTACCACCGCCACGTGTTACTCGTCTGCGGTAGTCAACATCCCCGCCACCTAGTTGTTTCAATTACCACTGTCGTGTGTTACTCTGTTGTTCCGAAGCTCCGCTCAGGTTTACCAGAGATAGTTACCCCACCTCCTTTTATTTACATCTTAAACCCTAAGTCCCTCACATAGCCTTGAAAGTTCTATGGAGGACTATAAAACATTTTTTTAGAAAAAAGACCAATGTCCGGGTGTAATATATAGCTAATCTGATCTTTTTTGGATGGTGGTGGTCAAGACATCAATCGTGGTAGCCAGTTGTGAATATAGTGTGAGAGCGTTTTGTATGGGCGGTGGAGGCGGGGATTCAAGCCCTCCTCCCCCGCATGAAACAATGAGCCTCCTCCAAAGCTAGCCTCCCTCTCCACACACAAGCACACACAAAACAATTTCTATATATGGATAAAAAATGGCGAAGAGAAAAAAAAGGAATACGAAGAGGATGCGAAAGAAAAGGTCAAAGAGAGAAGTACCGAACTGTCCTAACCGGTCACCATATATAGAGCGTGCTTGGTTCTAGCGACACATTGCCTCGCCTTGCCTCACTGCGTTCGCGCAGGAAACGACGACCTTACCCGCTCAGGCGAGCTGTCAAGCTCTCCCACGTGTGCAAGGCAAACCTCAGTAGTGCGGTCCTTGAGGAGCTTGAGCGAGGGAAGCAAACACACATCCTTACTCGTTATCCTCGCTCGGCAAGGTGCCACTGCGCCGGGCGAAGGATCCAAGCGCACCCATATTTGCCACCGGTCGTAGTCGTCATTACCCTTTCACCACCCAACTGGATGTCCATCACTAAAGGTGGCGGGTAAAATTCCTGCTACTTTGCTGCCTTATTTTACCCTCCGCCATGTGTTGCTCGTTCGTGGCTGTCTCGAAGCTTCATTCAAGTCTACAGATAGTTACGCACCTCGTTCGCATCTTACAGTCTATTCGCTTGTTGGTTTCAGCCAGCTCAAACCAGCTAGCCAACAGTATTTTTCTCTAAAAAAAACCAACACCAGCACCAGCATCAACCAGCGAACAGGCCTTAAACACTAAATTCTTAGTCTCTCGCCTGACAATAAAACCCTTTAGAAAAGAGATTAATCCTGTTCGGGTGTGTATATAGCTAATCTGATTTTTTTTCTGTCGTGCAAGCGCGAAATATCTCAATGTCATCAAAGTACTGTACGTTTTATCCCAGGAAAACGGTCGGCAGCTTCCTTTGTTTCTCTAGAGCCTGGAATGTGGAACTAGACCAAAGACTCGACAAACCATAAAAGCCGCCACGCACACCTGGAAGCATCTGGAGGCGTGGCACTGGCACCGGCACCGCAGCCGCAGCTCCGCAGCCGTCGCCCGCCACACCAGCAGCGAACTGTTCCCCGCGGCGGCGAAGCACAGGAGAGAGGCGGCGAGCGAGATCGATGGCGCTGCCGATGGACCCGCCCGACGTCGAGATGGAGATGGACCCCGCGCCCCAGCCTCCGGCTCCGGCGGTCGCTCCGGCGCCGGCAGCGGTTGGGGAGGGGTGGAGCATGCTGTCCCGCGCCCGCGGGCTGCTCGAGGAGGGCAAGCCGTCCCTCGCTCTGCAGGCGGTGAGAACCCTCCTCCTCTTTCCCCTTCTCCGTTCGGTCTCCATTTCACGTGCTGTCGTCTCGCGTTCGTCTCCACCGTCGCCCGGCGTCCGGCGATGAAATGGGAAATCCGTGGGGTTTTTTTTCCCGTCACGTATCGTACGTATTGGAAGCTGATCAATCGCGTGGTTAGACGATCGCGGATTTGCGGTAAATTTCCCCTGGTTCGATCTCATTCTGGGCCGTGCTTCCGATGGCGTTATCCCATCCGGCTTTGAGGTTTGGCGCGGAGAGGCCGAAGGGAGGTTTAGGTGTGATCCGTTCTAGGTCTTAGGGTTTGGGATTGGTTAGGTACGATTCGTTCTAGAGGATGATGCTACGGGTAGGTGCTTAGGTGCCTTGCTACTTTTGCAGCTATCCCTTTCGAATCTCTTGTCTACCTGTTTCCTGGGCAAGCGAAAGGAGTATTCTCGAGGTTCTCCTCAAGAAGGGAAGAAAGGAAATCGTGGCTTTATGCACACACATCTTAACTACTGCTTTTCTCCTTTGCCTGGAGCTCTTGTGTAACTTATTCTTATGGAAATGAGTGTTTCCATAATCCTCACTTGCACTATGCTGTTTGCTTGTGGTCTTTTAAGCGCATCATGTCCACCATTTCAATGTGTGTTCACCATCGAATTTCCAGTGGCACAGCAAGTAAGCACCAAAGATATTGCTGATAGGCACATATAGTTTCCGAGTAGTGAAAAACTGTTGTGCTGATCATTGTCAACTCATCTATCATATCCCCTCGCTGTACTGTTGATTCATGTGTTCTGGCTAATTAGACCGTACTGTTACACCTAGCTCTGTTGGCATTGCATGCATTGCTGATTTGGGACGTATGGCGGGTTTCCAATACAGTCCAAGCCCTTTCCGTTAGAGTTTTATCTGTTTTTTTTTCCAATTCTGAACATGAACGGTCCGGAAAATTCAATGACTACCATCAGTAATCCTGTTGCCCATATGGTTTTAATTAAATACTGGCGATGTTTGGTTGCCTGACTTCTCGCACTGGCATAAGGTTAACTTTTTTAAGGTCCATTGTAATTCTATCTTTTTCTATGTGTACTTTATATTTACTTTTCGGTCTTATGAGAATATATGACACTCCTCTAAAACTTAGAATAAGGCATTGTCACTTCCATATCTCACTGAATTGGCCCTGTTCGGCATGGCAATGAGGCATGGAGTAGCATATCCTGAAACTTTTTTGGGTGGTGGCATATTGTGAAAATACACTTTTCCTTCCCCTCTATAACATGGAAATTCATTAACTTTTCTTTCTAGCTTACTGTGGGATTTTAAATGTTCTCGTAACTCTTTGGGTATGGTCTGCGTTTTATTTGTAGAAGTTTGTAGACTAAAATTTTGTTTGTGATGGAGAGTTCAAGGCTGCAATGCATTATCTGAACACCATTGATGGTGGTCCATGTAAGGGCCTGCTACTTAAGCTCAAGCAGCCAAGTCAAATCGAGCTTTAAGAGGTCTTATTTCCCTCTTTTTTTTTTCTTTCACAAGGAAGGCCAACGGAGGGGCCTCCCTGTGCCAATGCCGGGGATCGAACCCGGGTCACCGGCTTGAGGGCTGGGCCGGCTGGCTCATGGAGCCACTCAACTCACCAACTCTATGTGGTGAACTTTACTAGTTAGCAAATTTATGTTCCTGTTGATTGAACATTAAGAGTTCATCAGAGACCATATTGATTTGGATAAAATGCTTAACACAGCGGAATGTGATCTAGACTCAATGGCAGCTTGGGCACACCTTAACGTGCTGCGTGATCTTATATTTGTGTAAAACTGGTGGTGTCCTATCCCATATGTACGGGGTGCAGTTGATAATGTTTGTTCTTCTATTTAATATGAACCATTTTGGATTAGGCCTGTTAAAAATGACCATCAAGCCTTTTTATAGGTGAGCATCTCCAGCAGTCCCCCTTTCCTGACCCCCAATGAGAAAAAACCGTTATTTTGGAGATCTTGTAGCTCCAGCAGTTTCCCAAACCCAACCCCAATGAGAAAAAAAAATTCTCAGTCCCTCAAATCATAGCCTCCCACCTAGTGGCGGAGCCAGGAATTCGTGGCTGGGTATGCCAAATGTACAAAATTTTGAAGCAAATATGTAATATAATGGACGATAAATTATAATGGCCATAACATTTAACAAAAAATCCATAATAGTAACCAAAGTACAAGTTCGAAACATAAATAATTAAGAAATATTACAAAACAGTAACGGCTACTACAATATAACTCTACAACCCCCTTGTTGGAAGAGATTGATGATATCCTCATCTTTTACTTGACTGAAGAATTCCCTCTCAATAAATGTAACCAAGCAATTGTTCAAATATTCATCACCCATTTTGTTCCTTTGCTTGTTCTTCACATAATTCATCGTGGAAAACACTCTTTCAACACTAGCAGTGGCTACGGGAAGAATTAGCACCAACTTAAGAGGCTTGTAAACAACATAATATTGTTCCTCCAACTCTAATGCATCAATTAGTTCCTCAACCTGAGCCATTCGAAGCATTCTCATATTTTTACAAGAATTGCCAAGAACATTTAACAAGATAGCAAGCTATCCAAAAAACCATGTGCAATCCCCACTCTCCTTAGCAAGTGCTACCTGCAGATTGTTCTCAATCTCAACAGGAGGAGGATTTGGTGTAGATGTGGAGTTTTTTTTTTCCTTTGCAGCTTTCTCCCATAATGCAAATATGCTGCTAGTACCCTTCTTCTTCATCTAGATTACAATTTACAAAGAACTGAATGTTAGAAAATTACTGAACAAAGTAGCACGCATCACAGCAGTAGCAAGAACAAATCAGTTAGAGGAGAAAAATGAAATCTTTACCTAGCTGCCTTCTGCAATTGCGACGACGATGCGCTACCGCCTCACCGGTCACCGGCCGCCCGCCGCCGCAGCAAAAGCAGATCAAGATGTGCCGCCGGCCGCCGGCAGCCCGCTGCCCGCAGCAGCACGCCACTGCTTGGGACGGGAATCGTGACTTGTGATCGAGACGAACAGGATTACGGGAGTCGTGACTTGTGAATGGATGCCGACGCGTGGAATTCTGGCTGCTTGGGCCATGGCCAGGTTGGCCTGCTCGCTGCTACGTTTGTGGACTTTTGGTCCAATTAAAAAATAGAATATACATGTATACTAGCATATGTATTTATTTTTTGTACCAAAATCTTGGGTATTCCAAGGAATACCCAAGCATACCCTTAGCGCCGTCCCACCCCTCAAATAAAGGGGAGACCTCTCTCCCCCAATCCACTATTTTTCTCATTGGGGATTGGATTTCCTGCTCTGCTCGAGGGAAGACCTTCAAAACCCCAAAACACGTTTTGTATATCCCCAATAACTAGTTTTTGGGGTTGGAGTTTTCCCTACTGCTGGAGATGCTCGGGTAAAAGTAGAAGGTAGGGTTGGGAAAAGTTGAAGAAGAAAGCCACAGCCCACAATTAGTGTTTGGTACCCTCATAAAATTATTTGAGTCTACTGTACTAATTTTGCACAGGAGTACAGTGCAATATAGGCCTAAACAAATCTTACTCTATATGTATTAGTGTGCAATGGTGTTGGAATTTCCGTATCTTGTTTGGATTAGACATGTATTGTATATTACCTGATGCCTCACATGGATCGAACGAAATGCACGTCTTCTGTGTGGATCGGAGTAGTAGGCTAATTACTTCTCAACTGCAACAGCACACTCTATCATTAGAGCTTCCTGCCTGCACTCTAGCTATGTGCTTATGTTAGTGGAACTGATTTTTTCAGACCAATATTTACGCAATATAAGATTATGCCTTAGCTGTTGCCTGTGGGATCCTATGATTGCGGTGATGTGTCCCTCATAATAACATTGTAGGATATGTTCTGGTAATGAATCAAACATTGGTAATGTGACAAGCATTCTGGTCTATTGCAATGCATAATTTCCATTTTGAGTTCTTCTGGAATCTTGTTGTGTTGAGACTCATTTATCTAATTTCATGACCATTTCATCTGTATGTGTTATGTTGATTCTCAACTTATGAAACTATGCAGGTTCTCTTGGCCATAAGATCTCAAGGTGGTGAACAAGCTCTCATGCAGACAATGAACCGAGCGCGTGAACTATATGCGCAGAGATTGCAGGCCACTCCTAGTGTTGATGAGCTTGCCTCTTTGCTTGCCCAATGTGCCATAGCAGAGGCTCAGTCATCAAATACTAACCCTCCACAAGGACCTGGGTCAGACCCTGTCGATATGCTGAATTCTGATGAGGCCTGCATTCTTGCTGAGAGTGGAAGGAAGCAGATCATCCTGGATGCGTTTGCTGATGGGAGCAGCTTCATTTGCTTGAAATGTGGCGGGCTCTTTAGCACGTCTCGCAAGGACGAGCACTTAGCCTACTGGTGCGGGACTGCATGATCCTGGTTACATCTTGCTGTGGTTTATCTATGGTCACACCTGGCAATGAACCGATGATCATGATACCCGTGAGATTTTGTAAAACCTTTGTTCTGTTCCTATTACTGCTTCTTTACTGCAGGGATGCCAGAGATGCATCTGTTAAGTCGTAGTAAATACATTGCCGATGCCTAACTTTATGAACGAAAGTTTCCGTCTCTATCTGTTGTATTGTACTTGTGCTTTCGGCAGATGGAAGGTGTTGATATGTTTGGCATGGTCATCAAATTCCAACAGTTGAATGTCGAAAGAATGTTCTTGCGGTTAGCTTCGACCGCACAAATACTGAAACTGGATAGAAAGTATGGAGGAACTGGTAGTATGCCCATTCGCTTTTGATTTTTCGAGTTGAATACTGGCTTTAGCAGTGATATTCTTTAGAAAATCTGCAAAGAAGAGCATTGCCATCACTACCTGCTACCATAAAAGGTTCGTTTTCGCGTCCCTCTGTCTGTTTATCAACTAATCTTCTGTTTGGATGACCAACCCATGCTTTTATGGTATTGTTACTGGCGTCGGTATGTTGCGTCATCGAATTACTTCCTGTAAATGTGAAATGGTTCTGGTCCTTTTGGACTGCACAAGGAATGGGGGCGGGCGATGCGTGTTTCATGCCCGGTTTTGCCGAGGCTTCACTTGAAGGCAACGGAGAGAGAAGCTGAGAGCCACCTCCTATCTGCAGAACTTTAGCTCCTGCCACGCCTGTGGCTTACATTCTAAGTGTTTGCTGCTGGTAGCATCTTGCGATCAGTCAAGGAATTCCAGTCTTCATTTGTCAGCGCAGTTTTTCTCACCAAACCTGATATGCTCTGCTGGCTGCTTTTGTTTCATATACGTCTGGTGGTGCTCAGAAAGCTGCCGGCTGCCCTTCCAAAACCTGGTGTCATCTTCTGTTGCTTTTTGATGATGCTCTTGTATCATCACTCATCAGGCAGTGGCAGATTGGTACTGTGCAATGCCACAAACCATGGGTCCTCACTCTGCCTAAAAAAGTGTCATGACTAGGTTGTCCGGGGAATATTCACATTCATCTCATTCCAATTTTTATGGGCCTATTTGGTACTAACAAATTTCAACTTTGAAGGATCTTCATTTAGGAAACACAAGAATTGAGAAAAAAAATATCGCATTCTAATTTCCAAACGATTTTTTGTTGTGCTCTCATTTTCATTTTTTTTAAAAACAGGTTAGAAAGGAAATGTTATAGTTAATGTTGTGAGAAAGATTTGGTGTCAAAATCAAAAGAGCGCCATCAAAACCTACCCAAATTTGAGCCACTCTGAAGCAAAGCCTTGCAGGTTGAAACCCTCGAGCAATTTTTAACCTGGTTTGCTTTCCTGCCAAACATGCCAACTACTAATCCAACATAAGCTTATTTAACTTTGCTTAATTCAGCTAGCTTGTCATGCTGTCAGTCCCTCTCAACCCCCATCCCATCCCAACCTCCATTCCTTCCTCCCTTGCCAACTCTGATCTCTCACCTGAAAATGTCAGTGTGAGTGGCCATTCCATCTGCACAACATCCTTCATCTACTAAACCTTGTTAGCGTTCACTCCAGAGTCCGGACACACACACGAGCACACAAAAGCCAGAGGCGGAGATGATGAAGGCAATGGCCGGGCCGAAGCTGCTCGTCGTCCACACGCCGTCGAACAAGGCCCTGAACGGGATGGTGCCCACGTCGCCGGCGTCGCCCATGCCGTTCCTCGGCTGGTCCCGGTGCCTGTGGCTTGTGGTCTTCCTGGCCTTGTTCACCTGCGTGTCCCTCCTGACCGTGTTCTCCACGGCGCGCGCCTCGGCGGGGGAGGCGTACCAGGCGGCGCCCTTCACGGTCAGCGGCGGCGCCGGCGCCGCGGAGGCTGGCCTGCCGCGGTACGTGTTCGACGCGCTGGTGCATTACGCGGCGGCGGCGGGGAACTCATCGTCGAGCATGCCGGAGCCGGACGTGCGCGCGATCGCGTCGGTGCTCCGGCGGCGCGCGCCGTGCAACCTGCTGGTGTTCGGGCTGGGCGCGGAGACGCCGCTGTGGCGCGCGCTGAACCACGGCGGGCGCACGGTGTTCCTGGACGAGAACCCCTACTACGTGGCGCACCTGGAGGGGAAGCACCCGGGGCTGGAGGCCTACGACGTGGCCTACGCCACAGCGGTGCGCGAGCTCCCCGACCTCCTCGACGCCGCCCGCGCCGCGCTCGCGCCGCCGAGTGCCGCCCCGTCCAGAACCTGCTCTTCTCCGAGTGCCGACTCGCCATCAACGACCTCCCCAACCAGCTCTACGACGTCGCCTGGGACGTCATCCTCGTCGACGGCCCTCGAGGGTACGTGCCAACGCACACGCACCATTGCATGCATGTCGGATACTCGGATGCCGCGTCGTCCATGGTTTCTTGGATTGATTAAGGAAAGAGGCCAATTCATTAATTAGTTGATGATTTTGTCATGGTGTGAAGGTTCACGGAGGGGTCGCCGGGGAGGATGTCGGCGGTCTACTCGGCGGCGGTGATGGCGTGGACCAAGGGCACGGAGACGGAGGTGATGGTGCACGACTACGAGCGGGAGGTCGAGCGCGCGTGCGGCCGGGAGTTCCTGTGCGACGAGAACCGGGTCACGGCGACCAGCACGCCGTCGCTCGGGCACTTCCTCCTGCGCGGCGGCGCCGCCGTCAACCGGGAAGCCTTCTGCGGGCCGCCCGCCGCTCAGAAATCGAAATCGAACTAAGCGACGAGTAGTTACTTCTCCTTCCCCCGTTTAGCCCCAACATGCTCCAGTTTTGTGATGCATGCATGATGCGTAAAGAAATGTTGATGCTTGTGACGATCTGTAAAATTGAGTTCTTTGAGCGATGATCTTCCTCGTCCAAGCAGAAGGTAAATTGACAAGGAAAAAGTAATGAACTCGCAGAATTGCGTCAATGAAGCATAGAGATCAGTGGTTCCTTGTGTTCATTTCGAACAAATCTTGTGGGTTGTGGTGGTCCAATGATCTCTTCCATATTGTAATGCCTGACGTGCCAACACATTTGACACACTTAAGAGAAATTTTGCACTTACAATTCTTATATATCCAACTATTTGAAAAGGAAAAAATCTACATAACCTCACCTATTGCAACTTGACTACTTCACCACCAACCTATAAAATCAGTTATTTAACCCTCTCATCTTTCCAAACCGTTCAAATAACTGGTTTTGCAAAGTGGTTTTGCCACACGCTGACACGATGAGTTGCCCGCTTATGTAGGTCTTTACCCATGTTTGGGCTATTTAGGTTTGGGTTTTTCCATAGGACCCACAGCTTATAATAAATTAAAAAAATGAAACGTCCTTATCCTTGGTCCGGGCCTGGCTGTTTCGTCCCCAATCGGTCTCCTTCGTCCTGCTGGAGTAGCATGCAATTAGAGTACCTCCTACGTCCTGCTTGCCAACAAGAAAGAAGCCTTGCTCTGGCAGCTTCGTGCGGGGTGTGTGACCTGCAGCGCCGGAGGCCTGTGCGGCGGCTTCGGTGCCCTCCCGCGGACGGAGCTCCGCGGCTTTCTCCGTGCGCCTGGCCTCCTGGACTCGGCGTGGCGCGGACGGAGCTCAGCGGCCTTCTCCGTTGGACGCGGCGCGGACGAAGCTCACCATGAGGGTCTTGGCACGGGACAGGCGCGGGTGGTACGAAATAGATGGAGTCCAATCCAGCCAGCCGCACGGTTTCCTCGATCCAGTGGAGCGTCGCGCCACTTTCGGCTTCTCCCCGGCTGCTGTGCTACATACAATAACCAGAGCTGTGCGAGCGACCGGCGCAATGAGTGGACCGCGCGGAGGCCTGTGGCGGGGGCGCGGCGGCAGGACGAGCTCTGCTCTGCTCCAAGCTGTGATGCGAGCAGACTTCGGCAACCCACGCGATGACGACGGCGACCCACGCGATGACAACGGCGACCGCCTGCGGCACGCTCCTACGCCGTGCACCAGCTCACGGCCAGCGCGCCCTCGCCACGCCGCCGTTGCCGAGAAGAGGCAACTCCCGGCCGCTTGGCGCCGGTACCGCCATGGCCGCAGGCCTCCAGCGCCCAGCGCCGTCGCCGAGCGAGCCACGGCACCACGCCCCACGGCGCCTCGCGCTCCACATCTTCCCCACCTACCTGCTCCGGCGTCGACAGGCCCCTCGCCCCTGCCCCTGCCCCTGCGTAGCTCTGCCGGCCGCGCCCAACCCCGGCGCAGCTTGTCCGGCCGGCCCCGCGTGGCTCCGACCGCAAACCCTTGCCCCGGTCGCGCCCAGTAGCGACTCCACCTGCATGCCCCTCCCCCGGCCGCCATGGCCGCCGTCCCTGCACCATCCGCCGCGTTCGTGCTGCCGCCCCTGCTCCGCCCGCCCCGAGCACGCGAGCAAGCCCGCGCCAGATATCGCTAGGGGAAGATGTGGAGCGCGAGCTCGCCGGCCACGGGTGGGGAAAGAAGCGCCGGAGAAGACGAAGAAGACGCCGTCGGGAGAAGGAAACGTCGTCATCGCCTGGCAAGCCGACCTGCCCGCTTACAAGGCCGCTTGTCAGTCGTCCACGTCAGCGTAAAGTCTATCTGAGCATGTCAGCACGGTAAAACCGTTATGCAAAATTACTCAGCCCGTTCGGTGGATGGTTCGCGAAGACGTATGTAAGAGAAAAATACTGTTTTAATTAAAAATTTATGATTATTTATGGTTAAGTCATAGCCAAACAAACAGGCTTCGGCGTTATTTGAATGGTTTTACAAAGTCGAAGGGTTTAAATATCTGATTTTATAGGTTGATGGATAAAGCAGTCGAGTTGGTAAAGAGCTTAGGTAGACTTTTTGGTATTTGAAAAGGTTCTGTATCTGGATCGCAAGCAAGTCGGCAAAAATAAACGTGGTCCTTTGCACAAATGGCAAAATCATTATTACTGTTATTGATCTATTGAGCGGCATTTTTTTAGCCCCGGTTAGCTTGTGTCCCGTGCTTTCAGGTGAACATTTTGTAAGACTTGTGATTTTTTTCTTTAAAAGCTAGGTTTACCTTCATAAAAAAATTATTAAGCTATAACAGGAATATTTTTTATTGAAATTAATCATATTTTATTGACACTAGAAAATTATGCTTCTATCGACAAAGTCGTCCTGAGACAATTTTCTAAAATCTCAAACAGTGTTCCAGTACAGTGTAGACGCTTACAACGTGCATACACTTGCCCCTATAAACATACGTACGTAAACTCCACCTCTACGAGCTATGAATATACGTACGCAAACTCTACTCCTATGAGTACCTCCAAAGGCACTCACCCCTATAAACACACGTACGTAAACTCTACCCCTATGAGCACCTCCGAAGGATTGAGCCGGTAGATCTCGAGATTCACAGAGTCACTACTGGCACCTCGCTGTCGACGGGGACGTTGCCTACCACTGAAAGCATAGCGGCAGATCTCGAGATTCACGAAGTCACCATTGACGCCTCGCTGTCGACGGGGACGTCGCCTACCACTGAAAGCATATCGGCATATCTCGAGATTCACGAAGTCACCACTGGCGCCTCGCTGTCGACGGGGACGTCACCTACCACTGAAAGCATAGCGGCAGACCTCGAGATTCACGAAGTCACCACTGACGCCTCGTTGTCGACGGTGACGTCGTCTACCACTAAAAGCATAGCACCGTTAAATCCTAAAATAAATCTAGAAAAATACGAGCATCCGTGCCAAGTCGATGACTTAAACCCGGATGGATAGGTTCCAACACAAGGAACCTAACCAACTGATCTATGATCAGTTCATCCATTGATTTTAAATTTGAATATAGGTGAATTACAACCACAAGTAAAAAAGGAAAGATTTTATGGGAAACAAAACTTGTGTTTTTTTTCATCATCGTTGTAGAATGCATTATGTAGGCTGAATATTTTTGGAGAACTTGAAGGTAGAATTTTGTACAATTTAAAAGTTTTCATAAACTGCTGAGGTTATTTGGAAGGTGTCTTGAACATTGAGAGCAAATGAACATAACAACATTACGAGTTTTGAAAAAATTTCCTATTGAACGGGCGACTTCACACTTTCTTTGCAAACTTTTTCAAACGGCGCCCTAATAATATTAAGAATATAGTAAATTATGCGTGCACAAAACAACTTGACAGGTGGATTGCAAATTGATACAACAACTTGTAATGGCGTTAGGTTAAAAAATATTCATTTTTTTTTAAAATCTCGCAAACAGGATGCTAATTATTGGGCCTTCGACTGAGTGGCATGGACAGCCCATCTCTTAGGTTTCGGCCCGTAAAAGCGCGTTCCTGCCAACACGCGCCCCGAGACAGACGGCGCCTTGGCCTGCCGTCGTAGTGGGACGAGCGGGGCCGAATTTTTTTATTTTTTAGCTCTTTCTTAAAAAAATCACAAATATGTCACTGGAGGTATAATTTCAAAATCTGGACCCTTAGCTCGGCGCCATCGTTACTGGCTCCGAGCTTACACTTTTCGGCGCCATCGTTGCTGGCGTCGAGGTCTTGGGCTCGACGCAGAAGTGGCAGTGACTTGGCAGGCAGCTCGGCATCGTAGATCCTGGCGCCGAGCTTAGCGCCGTATATCCTGGTGGCGAGGTGGTGTTTTAACCCAGCCCCAACCTTTCTGCCCGAGCCTTGTTTCTCTTCTTTCTCCTTCTTCTCGGATTTTTTCTCTCCCCACTTCGTCCTACCTCACGAATCGGCATATTGGACCTTGAAATTTTTGATTTGATCCGTAGATCTTCGAGAGCAAAGTATCCTCGCTCTCCTCCTAGTTTTTTTTCGCATTAATTCGGTATATATTAGTCAGATTTTTTAACCTAAGAATCATCATTACTTAGGGTTTCATGTAGTTTTTAATATTTGTATTATAGAACCGTAGGATGCCAAGGCGTGAAAAAACTAGCAAACCAAGGTAAACGCAGCGCATGTTGTTATGTTATGGGTTCATTATTTTGCATCAAATGGGAAACCCTAGGTTTAGGGTTTAATGTTAATTGCTTTCGATTCTTAGAACGACATTGGTTGAATTGTAGTTATGGTTGGATGACCGGAAATGCCTTCGACCCATTGCTTTTGCCTAGTGGTGTTCCAGTGCCCATGTGCTTTTGCAGCGATCCTTGCAATGTAGCCAAGTCCGATGAAGAGGATACGTATAGGCAGAGGTATTGGATGTGTTCCAATTTTACGTTTGAGCCTACACTTCGTCAGTGCCACATTAATAAGATGGTGAGAAATTGATGTTTGTGTCATATAACATCTTGCATGATTTTTTTGTTTTGTAACAATTGCATTTTTTACAGACCCCTCCACCGCTATGTGATTTTGAGCAGTGGATCGACACTGAGATCGAGCATGAAGACAAGAAATGGATGCATAAACTGTTGCGGTGGGAGGCAGAGGACAAGGAGATGATGGAGAAAAGACGTAGAGAGAAGGCTGCAAAAAAGGAGCACAAGGAAGAGGAAAGGAGGCATGTTGCTACGTACAAGGAGAAGAGGGAGAAGAAGGTTGAGCGTGCACACCGAGCGAAAGCAGCGATGGAGGAGAATCCCGATGCCCTGAGGAAGGGAAAGTGGTCTCGTTGCACTCAGTAGTCTCCATGACTTGCTAGTTCTATTTATTTATTCATGAACACCGTTGTTTACTATCGGTACGTACTTCTAGTATTATTGTGTTGTTTAATGTGGCATAGTATTGGACTTTTTATTATGTAGTTGTTTTCAT